AATCCTCTCGCAGCTTCCCATCTCACTGAGAGTAAAAATCAAACTATTTTTTTTTCCACTTAGATTTCAGAGGAAAATAAAAATATTTCAATGGTCCTATAAGGCTTCACATAAGTGGACCTCATCTCCTTTACTTGCCCTTTATTTCATTCTACTCTAGCCATATAACCTTCTTGTACTTCCTCAAACATGCCATGTGGACTCCCAAATCAGGGCCTGTACACTTGTTCCTTCTGCCTTGAACTTTCTTCCTAAAATAATCCCCAAAGCTTCACCTTATCACTTTGACTCTTTGCTCAGGTGTCACCTTCTAGGTGACTTTTCCTGGTAATTCTATGTAAAATAGAAACCCCACTCCCACCCCTAATATTCCCCATCTACCCTATTGTGCCTTTTTTCTTTTTACTCTCTAACATTGTGCTTTGCTTACTGTTATTATCTGTATCCCTCCCCAAATAGAATGAACGGTCTGCCAGGCAGGGACCAATATGTCTTATTTCTGAATCTCTAGAACAGTGCTAATCAAATAATAGACCATCATTAATATTTGAATAAATGTATGGATAAGGGATTTGTTCCAGGTCACATAGCTAGTTGTTGCTAATATAAAGTACATGTATGTAGATATCAGCCACAGTTTTTTCTAGTATCTCCTGTTACCTTTCCTTTAACTTTAAGCTTGGCCTTACCCATATCTTCTGTAGTTTAATCTTGCTTTTGATCCCTCTAAGGGGCTGTTTTATATAAACTCATGCTCATTTTTCTTTCCTCTTCTTTCCCTCCTTTCTTCCTTCTCTCTTCCTGCCTCTCTTTCTCTTTCGTTCCCAGTCTCCCTCCTCTTTCTTTTTTCACTTGTAGGCTTCTGCTAATTAATCATAATGGTATTTATTAAGCACTGAGTCAAATGTCTTAACACTGTACCATATCCTGTGAGAAATGAAACAGAAGCAGATTGAAGACATACCATTTACGTACTTGAGGAATTTAATATTTCCTTAGCCTCTTCTTCTCAGTGGCCTTTGTGCTCTTCTGGTTCTGATTATCTATGTTCCTTTCTGGCTTTCTGCCTTGACCATTACTTTTCGCCTCTGCCTTGGAAATTAGTACATAATTTACCCTCATTTTGGCTTCACATTATCCAGCTACAGCAAGACCCAAATAAGATGTTCCAGGGACATTGTTGAAGTCGGTCTAACACAGAAACTGAAAAAATGAGAGAGATAGAAAGAAGCATGAAGTAGGGAATGAGGAGTAGAGATTGTCACCAATAGGGAATTACATGTGACCAAAAAAATCTAAGGATCATGACAGGGTACATATGAAAAGTATGTACAGGCCAGGTGCAGTGGCTCATACCTATAATCCAGCACTTTGGGAGTCCGAGGTGGGTGGATTGCTTCAGCCCAGGAGTTCAAGATCAGCCTGGGCAACATGGTGAAACCCCATCTCTACAAAAAATACAAAACTTAGCCCGGATGGTGGCACACAACTGTAGTCTCAGCTACTCAGGAGGCTAAGGTAGGAGGATCAGTTGAGCCCAGGAGGCAGAGGTTGCAGTGAGCTGTGATCATGCCACTGTACTCCGGCCTGGGTGACAGGGTGAGACCCTGTCTCAGAAAGAAAGAAAAAGAAAAGTAGATACAGTCATCCATGGGTTCAACCAACTTAAGATCAAAAATGGAAAAAAAATTCCATGGATTTCCAAAAGTAAAACCTGAATTTGCTATATGCCAGGTACTGTGTTGAATCCATGAGAGTGAAGTGATGTGTAGGCATTGTATTTGATATTTTTGTTTGTTTTTGTTTTTGAGACCAGGTCTCTCTTTGTTGCCCAAGCTAGAGTGCAGTGGCACGATCCCAGCTCACTGCAACCTCTACCTCCCAGATTCCAGCAGTTTTCCTGTCTCAGCCTCCCAAGTAGTGGGACTACAGGCATGTGCCACCATGCCTGGCTAATTTTTTTATATTTTTAGTAAAGTCGGGGTTTCACTATGTTGGTCAGGCTGTGATCCTGACCTTGTGATCCGCCTGCCTCAGCCTCCCAAAGTGCTGGGATTATACGCGTGAGCCACCACACCTGGCCTGTATTAGGTATTTTAAGTAATCTAGAGATAATGTAAATTATACAGGAAGATATATACAGGTTATATACAAATACTATGCCATTTCATATAAGGCATTTGAGCATCTGAAGATTTTGATAACTGCGGTGGTCCTGGAACCAAACCCCAATGAATACTGAGGGACAGCTGTACATTTGAGAGCTATGGGGTACTGTATGAAACTGAAACAACTAATGACAAACATTAAGGCAGTTATGTTAATTAATGTATTTGTTTATGGCATGTACAATATGTAGTAGGTACTATATCAAATTTTAATCTCTCAATATTTTCTTTAATTTCTAGGCTTTTGCAGAAATGCTGAAAGTGAACAAAACTTTGAAGAGCTTAAATGTGGAGTCTAACTTTATCACAGGAGCTGGGATTCTAGCACTGATTGATGCCTTAAGAGATAATGAAACCCTGGCAGAGCTCAAGATTGACAATCAGGTCAATGTTCTACAACAGTAACTTCGAGAAAACTACAGCCCACACTGCTATGTAGGGCTTGGCAACTCAGGATGGGGATGGGAGAATGGCTGTCAGGGATTCCTGTTGGAAGATGGTGGGCTGAAAAGAGAGGACATTTGGGGTATCTAGAATATTAACTTAATGTGTATAATGGTGTACACAATGTAAAGGTGTATACTCTCCCTAGATCATTTTAAGAGAATTTAGATGGCTACCCAGTTTGAACTGAGAGGACTCTTCCATGTGACTTAGTCTGCCTTCCAGTTTTTCAGCTCTGTGCTGGCAAGGTCCACATTGTAGGCTTTTTGTAAGTAAGAGGCAGAGAGATACATGTTAGAAATGTTTCCATTCAGAGTAGCTATTAATTTTTTTATTAGAAAAAATAACTGCAGTTATTTGAAAACATATTTGGTAAATATCTCCTTCAGTCCTTCTAAGTAAATAAATTATATAAACTATGTAGGTAGAAAAAAGGATTATGTCTTAAAATTTAACCCCATGCTTCTTAATCCATGTTTTAAATTTTTATTGAGATATAATTATATACAGTAAGGGTATACGGTTAAATGCTTTTTAGTATATTTGTAGAGTTTTGCAGCCATTACCACTAATTCCAGAACATTTTCATTACCCCAAAAAGAAACCCCATCCCCATTAGCAGTCGTACCCCTTTCACCACGCTCTGGCAATCACTTATCTACTTTCTGTTTCTTAGGATTTCTGGACAGCTTATATCTGTAGAATCAAACAATCTGTGATCTTTTTGTGACTGGCTTCTTTCACCTAGTATAATGTTCTGGAGGTTCATCTGTATTGTAATATACTGAGTACCTCATTCTTTTATGACTGAATAATATTCTATTTCATTTGGCATATGTCCACTTATGGGCCACTAGAAATAATGCTGCTGTGAACATTCCTTACAAACTCTTGTATGGACATAGATTTTCATTTCTCTTCAGTATATAGCTAGGAGTGTAATTGCTGGGTCATATGGTAACTCTGTGTTTAACTTTTAAGCAGCAGCCAGTTTTCCATCGTAGCTCCACCATTTTACCTTCCTCCCAGCAATGTCTCCATTTTTCTACATTCTTGCCAACACTTGTTATTATCTATCTTTTTTATTATACTTATCCTAGTGGGTATGAAGTGATATCTCATTATAGTAATTCACACTTTTTTGATGTCTATATGATCATATTACTGAACTTAAGTTTATTTTGAAAAAAAAAAAGTTTATTTTGTGTGTGGAGGGTGTGTGTGTGTGTGTGTGTGTGTGTGTGTGTGTGTGAAATATAGTTCCACTGAGGTTGTGGTGATGATTGGGTCAATGGGTAAAATCAGCTTCCTGTGACAAACATTTCGTAGCTTTAAGTAACCAGTTTTCTACAACAAACAAACAATTTGTTCTCAGTTACAAAGCAGTCCTTGGAACTACTGAACTATGTATATGTTGTAGGAATTGGGAACATTTAAAGAGATCAACAGAATCGGCATGTGCCTGAATGTCTTAATTTACCTTGAAAAGTATTTTGATCTAGTTTATTAATATTGTTCTTTTTTTCTAATTATTCCAGAGGCAGCAGTTGGGGACAGCTGTAGAATTGGAAATGGCCAAGATGCTTGAAGAAAATACAAATATCCTTAAATTTGGATATCAGTTTACACAGCAGGGACCACGAACCAGGGCAGCTAATGCTATAACAAAAAACAATGACTTAGGTAAGACATAGTATCATAGGTAAGACATAGACAGTATCAATCAAGTTTCTGAATTCTTTCATAAGCTAATGTATTGAGAGAACTTCTTTCCCTTTTAAGAATAAATTTTAACAGAGAAGTTATTTGGCCTTTGTTTCTACAATCTGCATGGTCCTTTTTATACTGATTGAATTCAAGTTCAATTTAAGTAAGGTTGTAGTGATGATTGGGTTAATGGGTAAAACCAGCCTCTGTGACAAACATATTTCATAGTTTTAAATGACCAGGTTTCTACAACAAGCAAACAGTGTGTTCTCAGTTACAAATCAGTCCTTGGAACTATTGAAACAAAGATTGCAACATTACAGGAAAGTTTTTTGCCCTTTTAATCAAACAGACCTAGACAGAAAGTCAATTTTATATAATAGAATATGAACTATAGAAATATATAAAATAAGGCCGGGCGCGGTGGCTCAAGCCTGTAATCCCAGCACTTTGGGAGGCCGAGGCGGGTGGATCACGAGGTCAAGAGATCAAGACCATCCTGGTCAACATGGTGAAACCCCGTCTCTACTAAAAATACAAAAAATCAGCTGGGCATGGTGGCGTGTGCCTGTAATCCCAGCTACTCAGGAGGCTGAGGCAGGAGAATTGCCTGAACCCAGGAGGCGGAGGTTGCGGTGAGCCGAGATCGCGCCATTGCACTCCAGTCTGGGTAACAAGAGCGAAACTCCGTCTCAAAAAAAAAAAAAAAAAGAAAAAGAAATATATAAAATAGAGAATAATTGTAGTTCTTACCCAGGTTTTATAATCTGGTATGTAGGTGTTTGCTACTCTTCCTAACAGGACTGTTGTGGAACTATCTTCTCACTGCATACATCTAGGTCAGTAATCTCTCATTCTATGTTTTCTATTTAATTGCTTGAGGCTTGTGGCTTGCATTTGAAATAGACTGTCCAGCCAAAGCTGAATTAAAAAATATGGTGCTTAGAATTTTATTTCTACATGTTACCAAAAGTTGACTATTTTAAATTTAGGATGTTTGCCATTGAAGTATTTTTAGAGATGCCTTTTAGACAAGAAGTAAAAGAAAACTCAAAAGGAGTGATATTTCAAAGTGTTGTCATTCTCTTAAGCTTCAGCCATATTTGAGTTTGCATTCTGTAAAAGTTTCTGGAGCAGGAAAAAAATAGCACTTCATTCCTTTAATCCAGATCACTGTGGAAAGTATTAGCTCAGACCCTTTCTGTCCTTTGTAAAATGACAGTGGTTCTCCAGAGGAGATTTTAGCTGCTAGCTTTTGAAAAGAGAAAATTGGTGTGTTTTGGTATATTGTTGATTCCAGATGTAGTTTGCAAAGTCATGCTAATTGTTTTAGTATTGCTTCACTAGTTAGCTTCTATTTTTTTCCTTCCAGCCTTTAATTTTGCTTCTTAGAGCGGTGTTTTAAGAGAACTTCATAAAGAAGTGCTAGCTAGACTTCATAAATAATTGGAGAACTTTAAAAACACATAGGTTCTTGGCTTAAAATGGCTTTTTTCACCCCCAAAAAATGGTTGACCAGGGCCTCGGGACCATCACATAACCCTACTTTGATGGATAATGAAGCTAAGTACTCTGTTGAATGTTTACTGTGTTGTCATTAGTGCGCTGTGCAACCACGAGGTATAGATACTATTGTTCTCCTATAGTACAGGATAAGTGGAGACTCAAAGAAGTTAACTAACTTGCCAAAAAACACACTACACAAAACTGACAGAGCGCATTTCCTTAGAGGTTCTGATTTAGTCTGTGATGGGATTTGGGTTGTAGGCATTTCCCACTCAGAAACCCTGGCCTGTTTCTCCAGTGTTGAGTGGATATTTGAGTTTCTGAGTTCATCATTGTTATATATCTTAAGCAGGTGTGCCCATATGTCCTCTACTTATGACAGCATTTGTCACATTTTTTAAATTGCCTTTTACTCAAAAAATTAGTTATATGTAATAGTCTTACTTACAAAGACTATATGCTTTTTGAGGGCAGGGACCATGTTGTTGGCAGGAGCCATGTCCAACTATTGAATCCCAACACTGTTAAAACCATGCCTGATACACAATAGGTACTTAAGAAAACTGGATTAAGTGAATAAATAAGTAGTAAAATATGGACTTTCTGACAGTTACAATACACTGGTATCTAAATAACCATAAAGTAAGCCAGAAGTGTGCTCCATTTTTCCTTTCCTTGGAAACTACCTTAACAAATCCCAGAATCCCACGAATGAATTTATAGACCCAACCAGCTCTGTTATGTAACCTCCCTCCAGGAGGCAGGTGATTCTAGCAGCTGTCCTTCCAGGAGCTATACAGAAAATGTCCATAAATGTCATGGCAGGGGTACCAGCCTTTTCAAGGCTTCAGCAGTTGTGCTTTTCTGTGAATCCTGTTTTGGTAGGCACTTTGCCTGCATTTCTGTAAGAAAAGACATGTCCAGTGTTAGAGTGAGGGAGATTTGGGCAAATGCAAGAGGAAGAGAAGGTTGTGTTGAAGAAGCTGTGTTCTGACAAGCAGAATCGAGAGAAAGCAAGCAGCTTTGTGCTGGAAACTCTCTAGACTCACCTTATGCTGTTTCATTCTGATCCAGACTAGATTTTCAGATGTGGGTCTCAGGTATGAAATGATAATAAGCATATTCCTGGATAGGGCAATTATGGATAAAAGCTCAAATTTGAGAGCCAGCAATTTAAGAGTATGCTGATGACAGACTGCAGATCTTAAGAACTGACTCTCAATAGCATGATGCTGACTCCAGAATAAACTTTCAGTGAGTATTTGTTGTTTAAAGCTAACATTTAAAAAGTTGTATCAGGCCAGGTGTGGTGGCTCACGCCTGTAATCCCAGCACTTTGGGAGGCTGAGGCGGGTGGATCACCTGAAGTCAGGAGTTCAAGACTAGTCTGACCAACATGAAGAAAACCCGTCTCTACTAAAAATACAAAAATTAGCTGGGCGTGGTGGCACAGGCTTGTAGTCCCAGCTACTTGGGAGGCTGAGGCAGGAAAATCGGTTGAACCTGGGAAGTGAGATTGCAGTGAGCTGAGATCGTACCACTGCACTTCAGCCTGGGCAACAAGGTGAAACCCTATCTCCACTAAAAAATGCAAAAATTAGTGGGGATTGGTGGTGCATGCCTGTAATCCCACCTACTTGAGAGGCTGAGGCAGGAAAATCGGTTGAACCTGGGAGGCGGAGGTTGCAGTGAGCCAAGATTGCGCCACTGCACTCCAGCCTGGGAGACAGAGCAAGACTCTGTCTTAAAAAAAAAAAAAAAAAGCTTGTATCAGCAGATTTAAGAAAGACTGTTGGTACTGTTGGTAGAATACACTAAAATTATATGATAAAGAACTTGGATTTATTTGGATTGTTTGCAGGCGGCATTTGAGAGCCATTAGAGGCCACTGAATAAATGATTAAGATACTTTTTTAAAAAATTGCCCTTATTGTTCTTTTATAGTTAGAAAATGAGGTTAGTTAGGACATTCAAAATTAACTAATGATGACCTGTTGATAACTTATATCAGTGTAATGTGTTTGGGAAAGAAATTGGACCAGATCCAAAGAATTGTTAGTAGGGCAAAAATTATAAGCCTGCCATCTAGAGGATGATCTGAGGAATTGCTGGAAGGTAACAAGTGAGCACCAGGTGGGAAAGAGGAGTGAGAAATGACCCGTTGCCCCGTTGTTCTCTGCTGTGCACACAGTGGCAGCAGCCTCTCATTCTTCCACTCAGCTGAATTTTTCTTCAATTGTATACTCTGACTTCTGCCTAATAGATAAAGATGGAAAGCCTGAAGACTAGGTTTTCTGACATACTGGTCCCAGGAGCCTCAAAAGAGATAAAACCTGAAACTTGTACAGAATCTCTTAGAAATACAGTTCTTTTTCACCTTGTAGATGGGCCTCTATCAGATCGTCATGTTCTGATTTTGATAACATAATTCCTTCTCTCATTGTTTTCTTAGTCTCAGCTATTCGTTGAAATAATTCTGCCTACTCTCCATCTCTTCAGCTAAGAAGTGTCACAGCTATAAGAGCAAAGAGGTTCTATGGTATACATGCAATATTCTATTTACCTTTGAGTCTCACATTACTATCTTTACACTAGCTAACTACATATTCCATTTTCTAGACCTTTTTTGTTTGTTGCACTCTGTCCTATAGATCTTTTTATAACATGCATTATTTTAGCATCTGAAGTAGTATGCCAATAACATCCAAACCCTGCTGCAATTCAGAATTTTCTTTGAAATTTCTACTCTAAATATTTATCTGAAGTTTGCCTTTCAGACATTTCTATATTTTTCAAAGATCTATATACATGATTTGATATTTGAGGACTCCTCTCCATTTAATTTTTTTCTTAATATTTCAGTGTACACGTGAACTACTTATTTGTTAGTGTGGATTAAAATTAGTTCCTTGCTTTGACAGCACATACTAAAATTGAAATGATACAGAGAAGATGTCATCCCCTTGCAAGGATGACACACACATTTATGAAACAATCCCTATTTTTATCAAGTTCTGGCAAAAAAATAAATGATAAAACAAAGCTAGAGTCAGGCAAACTTTATTAGATAAGTATTAAAATGTTCATGGGAACCCGATACTTTAGTCCTTCTGGTTTTATTTCAGGTGAGCACCCAGCTTATGGCTGAACAAGATTTATACACTTCATCCGAACATATGGTCTTATCTATTAAAGGCTGACAAACAAAAGCGAGCGGTCAGACTAGCACAAGAGCAGGGTGTCTATGGCTTGGCCTGGACACCAGGTGCACCTGTTGCCTTCTAGTTTCTCTGTCAAACAGCCAGTTTAGGCCAAAATACATACTACAGAAGTGACAGAGCCATGATTCACTCTATTTGTCACTGACTCTGGAACCTGTGGTTTTTGTCCTGTCTAGGAACTGGCCACAATGCTGAGAGCCCTGAATGGGTGGCACTCAATGAATGTTCTCTAGTGGCTGATAGGTGAGAATGCAGGTAGCAAGATCTGAAGTTGAAGACCTTGTTCTGCTACCAGAGAGCACCCCTGAGTAGTTTGGTGTCACCAGTCCAGGAAGAGGCTGGTAGTCTCAGATACATACATGTACCATTCTTTGCTGCATCAGCTGAGCTAGTTGGCTGGCCACTTAGGCAGCAAAGTTTATGGTAGCCAGAAGTGACTGCATCATATTACCAGGGCCTGAAATTTTCATTACTTTGCATTTGTTGTTTTGTTAGACCTTGGACTGGTTTATCTTACAGGAGACAAGAGAAGGAAAATTCAGAAAGCAGTAGCAAATCACTTACCTATAAAAATGTCAAAAATGTTTTTGGTATATTCTTTGACAGCCTAAGGAAATACATTGTAATGTCTAATCAGGAGAGCATGCAAATAGTTACTTTCACTGTGTTCTAACCCCAGCTGCCTGAATTTCACTTCAGAATTTAACACACTAATTTATTAGCTGCTTTTTCAAACCTAAGTATATACTTTTTCAGTAAACAAACGACTTGGGCTGGGCGCAATGGCTTACACCTGTAATCCCAGCACTTTGGGATGCTGAGGCAGGCAGATCACTTGAGCCCAAGAGTCCGAGACCAGCCTGGGAAAGATAGTGAGAACTCGCCTCTATTTTATTAGCAAAATAAATTACAAAGTTAAAAATAAAAGCAAATGACTTGTAGATGATTGGTGACCATTCTGTTTTAGATTTCTAGCACTGCTGCTGTGTAAGCACAGCTATGGGTCAGTGAGCCTTAGGGCATGTAGTTGTTTTGAAACCCATCCATTCTCAACAAGTAAATGACAGTGGTGAATGATGTGAAGTAGATTTTGTCTTTTTTAACTTAATGGTCATGTGAACTGGAAATTGACATTTCAATTTTGTAAAGCTTATAACTGGATTATACAGAAACTTGCTTGTTACAAGCAAGTTACCATTGTAAAAACTAATAGGGATTTCTAACATACTTTCTTTTATTTTTCTCATAGTGCGTAAGAGACGAGTTGAAGGAGACCACCAGTAAGTCTGCCAAGGTATAATCTTTGGAAGACTTCAGAAGATCACCAAGGGCTCATGTTGGTGACATCAGATGTAAAATTTTCCTGGGTAGAAGGGAAAAGACTGGAAAAATATTTTTAGTGACATGCATTTTTTTTTGTTTGTTTAAGTTGTTATTAGTTTCAAATTGTAAAATCAATAATAAGGTGATATTTTAATATTCTGAAACATTTCTACTTTCTGCTAAAATCAATTTTAATTTAGCTTAATTGAATGATTGATGATGAATCTTGGGCAAAAAAATATAATTGTAAAAAATTTTACAAGTCATTTGTGTAGAATAATTTGAACATTGTGAGGACCAATCTTTTTAAATCAACAGGGATATTGCTGGTATCAGAATTGCTATTGCTTCATTTAGATATAAAACGCATAACAGCTTTCTCGTGACCTGGAGACTTTTCCATTTTTTAAAATACATGAACTTGGCAACAGTGTGATTTTTCTTTATTAAGAGAACAAAATGCCAGAATTCTTAAGTGGTTGACTCAAAATCTGGTCATTTGTGTAGGAGCTAAAGCAGGTCTCCAGGGAGAGATGATGGTCATCTGTGCATTTCAGGTTCCTGCACTTGTCTGATGTGACGCAGTAACACCCAGGTTTTCTTAAAACAAAGTCGTCAGCTTTACCAGGTTACATACTTTGTTTAAAAGCATAGTGAGGTCTAAGTTCATTCCAGTGTTTCATTTTAATAATGTGGGCATTATTAAATTTTTGTGAAAGCTAATGGTAAAAAGCACCTGAGTACAAAAGCTGTTTTCCTCCCCATAAAAAAAGGCATACAGCCAACTCTTAGTTATTTAGGGTAAGAGAAAAAAGAAAACTGTTAAGCAGTGAAATCAAAGATAATAAATATGATGGAATTCCAGTATGAGGCACTTGCAAAACAGTCATTTAAACTGATGGTTACTGTAAGTCATTTAGAAGCTGACATGTATGTAAATTACTTGGTGTTACATAGTATCCTAAGAAGTATATGCAGTGCAGAATTGCATAAATAGTATTTAATCACTTCTACAAATCTTCCAACCAAGAAGGAAAACTGCTGTTCTTCATAAATCTGATTTTTAGTATATGCTTCCTTTCATCTTATACTTTTATCCATATTTATAAAAGTCATTTCTATAATAAAAGCAGTCTTTCTTGGTCAAAGTATTAAAGTGAACAATTGAATAGAGTACTGTGGTTGGGAAAATGATTTGAGACTGCAGAGCTGATGCTGGGTAGAGGGTTTGGACTTGTATTCGTGTCCTGTCTCAGGGCAGCCCCTGGAGCAGGAGGTGGCAGAGGCATTTATAGCTGCAGAAAACAGGGAGGAATGGAGGTAACCCTGGCCTCAAAATTTAGGCCTGGCTCTATCAT